ATGTAATAGTCGGATAGTTATCCCCATAGCCGATTCTAAGATTCATTGTCATAAATGGGTAGTATTTGCTCTGTCTTAAAATCTTTATTATAACAAAGCTAGATAATTTTTTTTCTAATTTTTTATGGAGTAGCCACTCGCAAAAAACCATCAACTATTCTTCTCACCCTCCTTATTCTGCATGGAGTCTTCTTGGCTAGAGTCTCGTTTATATCGCTCCTTCATGGTTGCGCCGTTGGCCAGATCCTGTAGAGTGCTATTTATGCTATGTGAATTTCCACTCATCAGACTTAGATTTTCTGCTATTTGGCTGAGCAGACAAATTAATTCGGTTTTCTCCATGAGCACGGGAATTCGGATCGGTGGTATAGACACTTTGCAACAACTGCTCTTGGCCTGCTTTGACTTATTTGTATCAGCAACCTTTTGATTTCCTTGGCCGGGATCTATTTCCCTCTTTTCTGCTTGTTGAGGATCCTTTATTTCAACCGGCTTCTTTTCCTCCAATTTCCCATCAGATTTAAGGGCTTCACTCTTGGCTGGTTCTAAAGGATGCTTCTTGTCTAGCTGATCCTTCTCCGAATACGGCGCAATTTTGCATTTTCCTGCTCCTTCGTTGCTCGTCTTACCGGGTATTTCATCCTTCATTAAACTCTCCAACTTTTGGGCTTCTTCCGTGTCCTCTTCATCGTTTCTTAATTCCTCTGGCAAAAAATGCTCTGTATAGGCCGAGGCAATAAACAAGTTCCAGAAGGCCATTGCCAACTGGTCTGGAAGACGCTCAGAGAGTTTGCTGGGGAGGCGTGACTTGCGATATATCACCCAACACGCCTCTGTGAACTGCTTCCAGACTTGTTCTGCCGGCAAACGGTGTATTAGCTGGGGAGGAGAAGTGGTGGATACAGGCGAGGATACTGCGGAATGTTGCAGTGGAACGGAGTTTGCAGCCTCCAAATGCGATGGGGATGGCGTGCTGGACTCCGGTAGTTTGTTAGCAGCTGTGCTACCGGTCCGAACAACCTCAGGAGACTGTGGCTGATCATTCCTCTCCTTGCGGATAATCGCAGTCCGTGTTGGAAGTTTGTCGAGAGGTTGGCCTGGGAAAAATGTAGTGTAGTTAAAGCCTCAAAGATATAAGTAACCTTCATACATTATTCTGACTATAATATAGGCAAATTTAGCATTTTATCATTGGTTTGAAAAGGAGGTTCGCTTGGCATACTCCCAGTACTATTAATCTAAGATGGGACACAATTTACTTTCTGCCCTAAAGTATCGCTTGCGGGAAAACTAGTTGAAAATGCGCATGTACATTCAGACTAATCTCTTTGTGTCCATAAATATCTAACTCGGAGAGATAAAACATCACCTTCCACTCTTGTCTCTTTCAGCATTTGTAGTAACCAAGGTTGCGCCACTTGATCATCGATTATTTGAACATTCAAGATAGAATATGCTTCCGTAATTATAGGTTATCATCTACTTATAAGAAATATGTAGAGATTAATTAAAATAGACAAATACGTTAACTGAGTGGAATTATTGACCAACTCAAAGAAAATTCTTGAAGAATATTATTTCAATATAACAAATTCAAATTAACTGTTAAGATATCATAAAGAATTACTAGAGTAGTTT